TTGCACTCCTTGTGAAGTGTTCCCATACTTTACTTCTAGAAATTGTTGAGGTAACTGAGGCTGAATTGATAGATTGCTTGTGTTAATATTTTTAATATTGATATTGTTATGGCTAGTTAAACTGCTACTTTTATTATATACAAACTGTGTACTATCAAATGAGTTTTCATATTCAATTTTTAAAAGAAATAAATTAAGCAAAAGTAAAGGATAAGATGAAAGTAATTAAGCAGTAAAACTATAATATCAAGAAGAGCAAGTATTGAATTTTTTTTAATTTACCTTTTATACTATTTTTTTAAAAAAAAAAAACTATTTAATTTTCTAGATGATTCAATTTTAATTTCCTAGATAGTTCGATTTAATTTTCTAGATAGTTTGATTTAAATGAAATTTAATAATTATATAACAATTTATGTGAACTGGTGCATATCAAGTTAAATTATATCAGGTTTGATTTGAATTCAATTTGAATCTGATAAATTTTGTAAATTTAAAATTTATTTTGATTTGAATCTGATCTGATTAAAAATTTTGAAATTTAATTTGATCTGATTCATATTTGATTCACAGATTAATCAGATTCAGATCAAAATTGTAAACACTACTTCTGATAGTTCCAATTGAAAGCATAATAGAGATTTTTATAGATAGTCAAGTATATATTTTCAAGTAGAAATTTTTAAAAAAAGAAGATCAAAAAAGGATACATAAAAGATGATTCAAAGAAAAAAATTAATTTCTATAGGCATGTATAGTAGAGCTAATAAAAAAGAAAAATATAGATCTAAAGTTCACAAAAGTTAAGGCTTACTCAAATGTCCCTTATAATAAAGAAGTAGATACCTTAGCTAAGGAAATCCTAAAATTTTCATAATTGAATGAAAAGATTTTACTTAATACAAAATTATTAATAAAATCAAATAATAAGAAACAACTCTAGATAATTCAATTAAATAATTTATTAAGAATATTAATAATAAAACAATAATATATCAGTAAATATAGCAAAGTAGAACAGAGAAAAATGGAGTTATCATATTTTAGAACACTAGGCTCACACATAGAACCTAATATGGAAAGAATTAAAGATAGACATATATAAAATACATTTTTAAACAATTTCAACAAAGAAACTTTCTTATTAAACTGATCAATAATGAGCTATCCACCTTAAGTAGTTTGACTATAAAAAAACTGGATCTATGTAAGTAAGTGAAATATATTATATGTAGCCAATAAGATGAAACTATAGAATACTTGTTAAAATATTTAGCTTATAAGGACTAGCTACAAAAGATATGAAATAAAGAAGTAGATAAAATTATTAAAAACTTTAAAGAGCTATTGTAGGAAAGAAAAAGAGAGGCTAAAGAGAAAAATTCCAGGTTAATCATCAATGTCTATGAAGAAATAGAAAAGTTTGACAAGTAGATCACTAAAGTAATAGAACAGACTTCTAGAACCAATTAAAATATATTAAGTTTCTATACTGGTCTAATAAGAACTAACCTTATTCTAGAAATAACAGATTTAAAATATCAAGGTAAATATATAGAAAGAATAGAAAGAAATAGATAATAAAAATACAAAAAAGAATCTATAACCAAGTCCAAAAAAAAGTTTGAAACAAAAGATATGAAAAGGTAATCAAATGGCCACAAATACAAGAAATTAATAAAAAAGACAAGATAAAAAGACTGTCTTATTCAACAGGTTAGAAAACTATAACTCTAAAGAAAAGAAATCCACTACCTGAAGAAGGAAACCTTGAAAATAAAAGTCTTTGAGAAATTTTAACAAGAAGAGTAGAGTATGGAATGAAATAATTGGATTTTAAGTTTTGTTAGAATCTTCCAAGGTGATTTGCAGTAGTGACCTGCAGGCAATGAAGTTAATAGTTGAAAGGGTCTTTACCTGAACTGCTAATGGAGTAATAAATCACTTTCAAAGTTGCATTTAGTATTTTAATAATTCTTAAAATAGAAACAAGTGAGTTAGATAGAAATTTAGCTTTGGTAATACATTTTTAATATAAAGTATACATACTGTATATTTAATAAAGCATACATACCTAACCTGACAGAAGATGTTAAAAAAATATATATATATATAAATCTTTTATTTATTATATAATATAGTAAAAATAACTAATTAAGTTTATAAAAATTTTACTTATATATAGTATATAGATATAAAAAAATCTTTTAACATTAATTTTAAATAAAGTTTTTAAAGTAAAGTTGATTTAATATATATTTATTACAATAGTAAAAATTATGATAAAATATTTCAAATTTAAAAGTCAAAATAATATAGTTATAATTAAAATCCATAAAAACTACTTACTTGAAATAATACTTTTAACTTTAAAATAAACAATTAATAATAAAAATAAGTAAAATATATTATATACAAAAAAATAAAATTATTGAATATTTAATAGAATGTCTAGTTTATAAAATAAAGATACAAAAAGTTTAAAAAAAAGAACAGAAGTCATTAGATAAAATATTTTAAGGTATTGTATATTAAGAAAAAAAGAATAAAAATAAAATAAAAATAAAAACAAAACTATTATAAATGCTTAGAAAAATCTTAATAAAATATATAAATATATTTTTAGATTTATCAATTAAGTTTTTTAAACTTGTCAATATATATGTAATTTTTATATAAATTAATAAAAAATAAATTAATTAAAAAAACAAAAAAGTTAAGTTGCTAAATAAAAGAAATTGCAAAATTAACAAAATAAATATATAAAATTCAATATACATTATATATATATATAATTATTTTGCAAAAGAAATTTGAAATATAAGATATAAATCTTATTAAGATTTGAACAAATACTATAAGTTATATATAAAATAAAATAATTAAAATATTGATCAAAATTTTAGTCATAATTTATAATAATGATCTATTATTAATAACATTAATGATTAAAAAAATATTTACTTAAACCATTAATAGAATAATAAATCACTTTAAAGTTATATTTGAAACTTTATATTAAAACAAGTGAGTTAATTAGAAAATTAATTTTAGTAATATAATTTGCAAATATTTAATAAAACATATATACTGTAATTAATATTATAGAGAATAAAAAAGAATTAAAAAAATTAAAAATACTTAATAACTTAACTAATTTATAATTTTTTTTCATTAGTAAGAGTATTATTTTCAAGTGAGAACTAGTTATTTGATTATATTCTAATAAATTTAAATATTTTTTTTTTTTAATATAATCCTCTGTTAGGTTAGTTATGTGTGCTTTATTAAACAATTGTAAGCTATACATTATATACTGCATATGTTGCTAAAGCTAAATCTCTAACTAACTCATTCATCAATGTCTTATATTTATTTAGAACTCTAAGTGCAATTTCGGGAGTGATTTATCGCTCCGTTAGTAATTCAGGTGGAAACCCTTCCAACTTCTAACATCATCGTCTGCAGATCACTGCTGCAGCTGATAAATTTAAATATTATTTAATAACTTAATATAATAGATATATTATACTAAGTTCAATTATATTATAAATCAACTTTTTAATAAAACTCCATATTTAATGCTTACTTGTAATAAAAAAATAAATTTATTAATAAAATAATTGACTTGTCAATTTTAAATAATAAATTTATAAAATAAAATCAAGATATAAATTTATAGAAGAGTATAATACTATTTTTTAATTTAAACTTAAAGATTGCAATATGTACAAATATACTGTATACTGTATATAATATATATTTTATATTAACTAATTTACTAAAGAGTTTTCAACTTAGACTTAAGCGAGTGAGTTAGAGAATTAGCTTTAGCGATACATAGAATATACTGTATATGCGGTTTACAAAAGGTTTAACAGAGCACACGTAACTAACCTGACAGAGGGTAAATCTAATAAATAAAATAAAAAATAATTGGGATCGGCACGGAAAGTTTGAGTCGTGAACGATTTCTTTAAAATCCAAGTTGCTAGTGCGTACGTACCATTTTTGGAGATTTTCGGGACCAATAAGAAAAATGCCTTTAAGATTACTACGTCTGATTCCGGACCAATGAGAATGCATGCCTGAACCAATAAGAAAAGGCGTCATATAAAACATAAAAAGTTTAATTTTAATAGATGAAATTTAAAATTAATGCTAATTCGAAGTGTGCAATGTACAATATATGCTGTGTATATAATCAGGTTCGGTAAAGTTAAGAAGCGAAAAAAAGAAATCTCAATTGTGTAAACTTTATAAACTTCATCGTATCACACGGTGTTCACGCATGTAAGATCATAGCTGATCTTGAGTAACGAATTCAAGCCTGATCAAAATTAACGTCAATTCGGCTTATTTGGTCAATGAAAACAAATTGGCAAAACGAAAACTTTGAATTACCAATTGTGGCTACAAAGTATCATCAAAGTGAAGTGATTTGATGGAATGGATTGATATGCGAAATTTTGATGCTTGGAACACATGCAGAAAGATTATTTATAATGGTCGATCGTAAATTTAAATCGACTTTCCCTCTCTGTTCTTATATTTTATACTATTAATTTAGTCTTCGCTTTTTCACCACTTTGGTAATTTCTTCTGTTAAAGAATAAAGAATAGAAATGATGAGTAAAGCATCGATCACACTTCTCCTTGCATCTCTTACTCCAAACCTCCTTTTCGTCATACTGATATTCTATTTGCCTTACATTCTTCCCTCACATTTTTTCAAGTTTCTCACACTAATACCTCCTTCCTATTACTCTCGTGCGACCCTTCTTTCCTATGTTAACTTTTTACACCAAAAATACGTTACTTCTTTCCTTACTTTGCTCACAAGTCTACGGCATTCATATTTTAAATTGGTTTATTCGACCTTGCACAACATATATCAGTCAAAATATGGGAATAAGGATTTAAGAGCTTTGGTTTTACGATTTGTTAATAAACTCGGTTATAGAGAACTACCAGTGTGGGGATATTTCTCCCTGCTAGCGATGCCTTTTGCTGCGTTTGTTGGTCTGACTTTACATCCTCCAACATTAAATATCATATATCCGAAAAACAAATCATCGTCCCCATTTTCCAACACGTATTCACCCACTTTCGAACATCGCGCATTAAAGAACACGAGATTTCCACCCCCTCCTGAGAATGGCCCGTCGAACCCGCCAAAGATAGTTAAGACAAGTTACTCAACAATTAGATATTTTATCCTATTTATTTTGGTAATGTTGTTTCTGTTGATTCCCGTGGTTTTCAGAGAAGATGTAAGATGCAAATATCAGGAACCAGTGGGATTTCTAGTAAGCATCTTGTCGTTGAAAATGTTGACTTGGTTGAAAAAGTGTTGGCAAGTTGATGTGATCCAATCCTCCCTCGAAAATTCGGAGAACGCACGAATCAATGATTACAATATAAAAAGCAAGAAGCAGGATGTACAAAAAGAAAAGCTACAGATTGACCACGATAAACTAGACTCGCAAAAAGTAGCGCCTTTCCTTTGGACTTTATTTTATTGGCGTCAATATCTCGGACTAGACACGTTCACACTGAAACCGAAGAACAAACGTGAATCATCATCACCATCACCGTCATCATTCTCATCACTATCATTCGCGAAGTCAACTTCCGAACAGAATAGACCTTCAACTAATCTTGTACAGCTACCACCAACACCGCCACCTGAGTTAGATCAATCGCACCACGCGCATAACGTTTCAGACGAACCACTTTCGATCCCGGCCACTTCAAAAAAACGACTTTCGACCTTTCTTAAAAAACGCCCTCTGATTTGGATAACAAAATTGATCGCGCATGGATTGCTGATAAAATTTCTGGTAGATTATGCTCCTCATCTGCCACCGACTTCTTATTCTTCAAGATTAATTGAACTTTTCATTACCGGAAAGCCACCTATCACCAGCCCATTCGAACTAGTATACTGTTATATCTACGCGGTGACGTTATATTTACGTATGTCATACATTTATGACTTATTTTTAATAATTTCGGGGTTAATGCTGAGATCAATAATTTTCATTAGTGGTGATGTGAAAGAAGTCGAAGAAGAAGAGAAGGAAGATGAAAATTCGGATGTGACATTCACCTTGTTGTTTCTTTCGAACTTGGGATTAACCTTTCCACGAATTAAAAAGATCAAAAGGTGGTTAACGTCATTAATATTTCATACTCCACATTTATTTGAGACTCCGTATTTATCTAGAAATCCTAGAGATTTGTGGTCATATAGATGGCACCAGAATTCTCATGAACCATTCAAAGAAATGTCATATTATCCTGTTAAAACGTTCGTCAACGGTATACTGGGAATTGTTATGGGAATAATTACGTATGTTCTTGGAATATTTTTGTTGATTTTCAGTTCCTTGAGCGGAGGGGATAATCTTGGGGAGGGAGATGAGATTAAAAATTCTAGTAACAAATTACAAAATTGGGTAGCACATATGGCCGGGACAATGGGAGTCTTTGTGCTTAGCGGATTATTAAATGAGTATGCATCATTTGTGTCGTACGCCGACGGTTCGTTCGTGAGGGAACACCTTTTGTTTTTCGTGGTTCATGGAATAATATTTATTCTTTGGGAAATATTTTTTGGCTCAATTAATTTTGCCAATGATTCAAGAGGGGGTCATGAGAAGAGTGACGATGTGATCAGAAAGAATAGCGAGGGTAATGATGAAAGGGTAGAATTAAGAGTTAATGCCCTCGAGTTGGTTAAGAAAGTTACAGGATGGTTAATATGGAATTCGATCATATCAATAACGATACCATTGTATATTGAGCCGTTGATAAGATTTAAGCAGTTCGATTGTATGATTCATGTTGGTGGCGATCTGGTTTGGAACAAGTATTTGAAGAAAAGCGGGATTTTTTCTTAATTGGGTTATCGTAGTTAATTCTAGAACGAACAAAAAAAAAATTTTTTTTTTTTCTAATTTTGAATTGAGGTCTTAGAAAGTGGTTGAGAGATGGAAAATTTTTATATAAACTAAAAGTTCATTAAAAAAATAAAAACGAACAATTCGCATAATAATAGAATTCGAGAAAAAAATTTTATAATCAAACTGTGCATCTAAAGCAAAACATCCACGTGAACCTTCCATCTATTACGTGACACGTGTTGTCTTACTCGTATTTTGTCATCGACCTCGTGCTGAAGTTCAATTTAAAGTAACTTATCTTTTTCGACATTTCCCTATTTAATTTAATTTTTTTTTTGCATTACCCGCAAACGGTTAGACTATTCGTTTATTAATCAAAAGAATACAAAAAGTAAACTACTGCTAAACATAATGTCAAGTTTAACTAACTTGTCGTAGGCATTAAAAGCCTCTAAGTTTTGACCTTGGGAGTTATATTTCACTCTATAATGGATTTTATTATTATATTGTCATTCACAAGAGTCACTAAGGCATCAATATACAGTGCTCCATAATAAATGAAGGATCACTTAAGAATTATTAAAATTAATCAGAAGTAGTTTTTATATATCAAACTTTTTATTTTATTAATAAAAACTTATTTTATGTATTAAGTAAACATGTTCCTTATAATAATTCTATCTACAATAAAATTTTTATGAAATTTGGAGTCACTTTTATTATTACATTTAATGCATTATTTTCAAATGAAAATTTTTTTATATTTTTGTTAAAATTTTGATATGTACCCAATTTTTATAAATAGTGTTTAAACAAATAATTTATTATTAATAAATTTTGTTCAGCATATATTAAAGTACTTAAATATTAAGTTTTATAAAATTCTATTT